AAGCCAGCCCGCGCGTCATGGTGTAATTACACTACGCGGCGCTGTCGCTGTTAGACGCATTATAGCTGCTGAACGGTTTTGTAGGAGTTATGAGGTGTGTTTTCCTTAGGGGTTGAGGCGCCCTTCAGTATGTCGGCTCTTGTCTACGAGCCATATAGATGCACAAAATTGTCGACTGGCATAATGGCGTGTTGAATGAAGAATATTACATATTACCATCACTACTAGTTTAGTTTTTTTAGAACTTCTAGCTTCGAGCATCAATACCATCAAAAGCTCTAGATGGTAGGGTTCCAAGGCCATTTACAAGGTCAATTTTGCAAAAAATGCATTAAAGTTGCATGCGAAAAGATAAAACCGACACTCTCCTTGTAAGTCCCTTATCAATATACCAGGACACACCATGTTCCTCCTTCATATAGCCCGCGGACAAGGACCGACATACTGGAGGGCGCCTTTCGCCTCAACCCCAAGGAAAACACCCCTCACAACTTCTTTCACAAAGCGGCTCCGCAGCTGAAAATGCCAGATTTGAAATCAGCGTCCGAGTACGTCACGATGATATACGCCTCCTCTGGATTGGTACTTTCGACTAAGTGTCCTCTCCTTGTAAGGTTATTATAAGTAGTTATTCTTTTCATGTTCTGGCACATAGTCATGCAATAATCAAACCGCACAACAGTAATGAATTAGTGTACTATTCGCTTGTCAGTGCACCACTGGAATCTAGGGTCGGTTTGGTGAACCGCTTCGAAGGAAAGGATGTAATCGAAATGCTGTTCAGAGCCCTCTCAAAGTTGGTAGTCACGTTCGTTACACTGCTTGCTTAGATTTGCCAAACTCAACATACAAGTGGCGCTGTCTTGGAATTGCAAGAATTTCTCGGGTTGATCTAGGAGAGGAAGTGAAAGAGGTAAACCTTTGTTTGAGAGATTCTCTCTGTTGAAATCTGCAAACTTGAATACTATTTGTGTATAGGAAATGGTAATACAATTCAGGTTAATAACTCAGTGTGTCCAGGCTTTTGCCCCAAATTACAATTATTTTAGGAGTCGACTAGCATAGGTAATCTTCCCACTTCAAAGCCTGCTTACACAGAGGGTGAAATTTCCAAAGTTCGTACACATACCAAACTTTTTGTGCATTATAAATTTTTGCCATTGCCACTTCTTTCAGCCACCAAATGAAGTTTCTGAAAATATTAGTAGTGAAGGTTTGTGTGTTTATCAAAAGTGCAAGTTTCGATCAAAAATAGCACCGAGAATATGGTCAAAAAATTATTATGTCATGATAGCTATAAAAGACAACTACTATCTTTTACTTAAGCGAAAGGCGACACTGCCAAAGAAGAAGGAAATATGAACGAAATTCTCATTAAAATAGATTCGAACGATGAGAAAAGAGAGGACTCGCACTTTTGCAGCTTGTGAGTTTCATATGACAATGTAAATCATACTTTAGGTTTATGCAGATTACATATGCTTTGCACTCCCCCAGAAACATTCGAGACTGTTCCGGTGTGCCTCAACGAGACTCCCAGGAAAGTATTCAGGTAACTACATATGTTGGGAGCTTATCTCTATTGAAAGCGTAATGCAGATATGGTGACGAGGCACCATGCCATTTTACTATCAGAGATGAATTGGAGCGAAGTCAATATGCAAACTTTTCAGCATTGTATAAAAGCATGGAAGAATTTCTTCTTCGCCATGCACGACGTAGATGTGAGTCCATTACAAGAGCGACGGCGAGATCCTCTAGTTTCAACCACATCTATTGGATTAATTTGTAATCTGCAATATGAAGCAGCAGCCCAGCCATATCACCAGTAGACTTCACCAGTTAATTGCAAATGAATAAGAACCATGATTTGTGATATGCTTGCAGTTTCTAAAAAACGGTCGCGGCACAAGCAGGGGTGGGATGGTTCTTTCGCAAGCAAACGTAGCTGTTGCAACAAATTCATAACAGGAAATCAGTATGTTTCGAAGAAGTTCTTGGGACTGTAGTTACAACCATCAATTGACATCATTTGTCTTGATGTTACTTCTAATAGAAGCTGCTGAATAGCTACAGCAGTTTGAGGTCAAACGTCAATGCATTCCCTACAAATACAAACTAGAGTTAGATAGCAGGGGAAGACGGTGGGCTGCGAAAGAAAGGGGGAGAGAGAAGAGAGAGAGACAGTAAGAAAAAAGGAAGAAGAGTGAAACAGGGAAGAGGGCTTCCAAGTGGATAGGAAAAGAGTGAGTTTCTCCATAAAAGTCTTACGAATATTTACTGAATTGCAAGAGATGAGCTCTTTCCACAGGAAAACAATGTTCTAGACTCTCTTCCCTGTATCGTTGCATTGCCACAACTCATATTTTCTTGTGTACTCTCCTTTCACTCAACATAGTAACTAGTGTGCCCTTTTTCTCTCTAGCAAGTTGCCTAAGCCATTGACGATAATTCACAAGCTATAATTATTCACTTCGTTTCGAAAAACGCAGATTCATCTTTGTAGCTAGCTTTGTTGTGACTAAAGTGAATAAAATCGAGTTTGGCTTTGCTTACGGAGTGCTTTTACCAAATTTCAGACAAGCATAAGCGTCGTCATTGTAATGGCGGCATTTCCAAAGCCAGTATGAACGAAAGCGAAAGCGAAAGAGAAATGGCAGGTACTTCAGTGAGGATTAACGTAATCAGCAATGATCTCGAGCCTTCCGTGGGCAGATTCAACTTTGTTGGTGAGCTAATATGGCATAACTTGTCTAAACGTAGTGAAGAAAAACGATATATGATTAGGTGTTGGAGATGATATCGGCCAAATGATCGCTGCGCAGAGGCAACGAGAACAGCCAACATCAAAGGCTTCATCGGTTTCTCAGAGATCGGGCAAAGGGGTGAGCACCGCAACCAGAAATAATCTCTAATTTCGAGAATAAACTAGATTTTAGTTTTGGTATTCTCGTAAAACGCCTCGTATTTATCCAACAGTCGTTGTAGCGGAGTTCATCAAGAATCGTGACAAGGAAAAGGACTGCAATGAAAATATCAATATCCATAAGCTGACGAAGACCATAATCATCTGCAATGTGAGAGTTCAGCATTTTTACCAGTGATTATAGTCATGGGCTTTGCTCAATCCTTTTATAAGCTCTAGCTTCCCATAAAATTTCGCTCGGTTAATCAATGCATGTTTTTATTTTGTCAAATATATGATCTGATTGATAGAAAGAAATCTGCAGGCAGGAGAATTCGAAGATGAAGATGAATTCAATGTTAGTAGTGGAAAAACCCATGCTAATCATACACTATTCAAAACCGGAGAAAAAGAAGCAAATATTATGGCGCTACTGCAAAATGATCAGGTGTTTTATTGTGAAGCTAGAGAACTTCTTAATAACATTTCCAGCTACAATTTAAATGACAGTTTTAGATAATGGGAAACTTTTTTGGACCCTTGCTCAAAAACTTGAAGAAATCATAAATTCTCGCAGAAACAAATCATCTTTATTCACATTCATCCTTCCCCACCCCCTCCTAATGATGTAACCGCACTGTTTACCATTTGAGTGATCTATTACAAACGAGAGTTTGAGAAAACGATTACTTTTAGTTAATGTGCCGAAGCACAGATCCTTAGTTAAATATTAAGCAACGTGTATTCTTTTTAGATAAATTTTTTTT